TTGGCAGGCATCCTATGTGCAGGCCCAAGCCTGGAGGCTTGAGGTTTGGATGCCCCTGAGTTTTGCTTGACCTCAGCTGTACAGCTGCAGGAGCAAGCTAGGGAGGTGCCTCCTATTTCATTTCCAGTGGGAAGATCTTGGCTTTGTGCCCACTTTATGGAAAGTGGGAGGTTAACTATATACAGGCAACCCTGCTTAGTGCTCTTAACACTTGGTTTTTCAGGAACCAATTAAGTGAAACCGAAAGTATCTGGCAATCCAGCATGGCAACTGCAAGTGTTTTTAATGACCCAAGATGGTGACTGGAAGTGTTATAACGAAAGTCACTGAGCACTAAGTGAAATCAGGTATCAATGAGTGCTAAGCCAAACAGCGTTAAGTGGGGGGTTACATTTACTCAAGTACTACCCATGAATGCTGTGTGCCCCCGAAGGTGTGGGACCTGGTGAGCTCCCGCAGGCAGTGGTGGTGGCACTGTTGGTGGCAAGCAGGAAGCTCCTGCAGGCTGCTGCAGTGCTGCTGGCAGCCAGTGGCGATCGAAGACCACCTGTAGATGCCTTTGGCAAAGAGCAGCAACTGCCCTCAGGTGCCGTGGGCAGTGTTAGCGGTGCCTGTTTGAAGGGGGTGCCCCGCCATGCTCAGGCAGTGCATGTGCACCCACTACGCATCTACCGATACCTTGCCAGAAAAGCGGTTATCCCCAGCGACTAGGAAAACGGCCTTTGCAGTCATGGTTTTTCCGCTGCTGGCATCTGCCCCGCACACGGATCTGAGGCGCATGGGTGCCCCACAGGGTACCCTCCTCCCGGGAACGCGCAGCCGTGCGGGTGGGAGCCAGCCCCTGCCTCAGCTGCCAGCCCCGCCCCCGCTCCCTGCCTCACTTGGGGGCCTCAACCTGCCCCCACAGACAGCGGGGGGGGGCAAACCGCCCCTTCCACGTCGGGGCTCCGCCAGGCCTTAAGGGGAAGCCCTCTCCGTCCCGTGTTTTTCTCCTTCAAAGGAACCCCCCGCGCTTTTGTGGCAAACAGAAACCTGCCCCCGACCTCGAACCAGGGGCCACTGCCGCGCGCGGGAAACGGGACAGGCGCTGCTCGGGAGGGGGCGAAGCGCTGCTTGGGAGGAGGCGGGGCGTGCCCGCACCACGTGACGCCACCGCCCGCGTCCTCCTGGCCCCTCCCCCCAAGATGGCGGCGCCCGCGGGCCCGGGGAAGTTCTGGAAGCCGGGTAAGGGCAGGAGCTGCGGCCTCCCCCTCGGGCGGGGGTGGGTCCGTCGTGCCGGGCTCCCGGGACTGCCCCTTCCTCGGGTGCACGCGCCCCCTCCGACCCCGGCCGTGGGGACGCACCTGCCTGGCGCCTCGATGCTGCCGCCGTGGTGTGGGCGGTGTCCTGCCCCGGGCTCAGTTTCCACGTGCCCTGAGGAGCTCCCGTCACCGCCCCCATTGCAGGGGATCCCGCCAGCCACAGCCTTGCTTGACCCCGGCCCCGCACCGCTAGCACCGGCCGCGCTGCGGGGTTTAAGCAGGGGAGAAGAGGCAATGGGTACCTGTGTACCTTTATGGATGTGAGGTGCCACCTTCCCCCCTTGGAAGCTGCTAGCCCCTTGTTTTCACTCCTGATTTTTTTTGCCTATAGAAAGATAGCAGAGCAGTTTTCCTGTTGCAAATAACTAAGACAGGC